TCCTGGAACACAATGCACCCTCGTTATGGCTGTATTAGACCAGAAAGATAGCTTGTCTAGGACTACATTCATTTTCACGGTGTATTATGTTCGGGGAAGACTAGTATGTAGTGCTTTGTACCCACCAGTCTTCCAACTTCCTCCTTTCTCTCAGACCACCTAGAGAGCAGTCAAGGGCAGTGGAAAAAAAAAACAAAAAAACAGTGAAGGGCAGTGGTAACGGACGGGCAGGTAGCACAAAAGAAAGAATGGCAGGGCAGTGTTGTTGCCTATAAAAAGGCTATAATGGTTAGTGAGCACGCTCGCAGATACCATACCGGGAAAACCAGTTCGGTATTGCCTGTGGTGTGATGCCCAACCTCACGCCCGGCGCGACGTCCTGATCGGAGTGTGAGTGGGCTTAGAAGTGTGAAAAGGGGGTGTGCCAAGGATTTTAGGAAAGTGGGGGTGGAGTCCCAAATCGGAATTAAGATCTCATGTGGCAAGCTCCGGGATATGAATGCAAAAGGGTAGACACGAACTGGAGTTGTGTTTTGCTTCGGGGGACAGAGCTACCGCCTCCGTTGGTTCCGTCGTCCGGGTTGGGGTCGTATCTGGTGCACTGTCGGGACGTTATGGGTATCCTGCTGATTCATCACCTGCCTACGTTGAACGTCGCAAGTCTCCGAATCCGACGTGGCTGGCCTCAATCGAAGACTGTGCGCCCGTCGTTCTTCCTCCGAACGAGTTCGCCGGATGAAGCCGGAGGCTCGATACTCGTGGTCCCGCAGACACTCTGAGCACGGGGGTTGGGGCCAGTAAGGAGTGATTGTGAATCAGGGGACGATGGTTAGGGAGTGCTAGGGTAGGATGTGGTGATAGGGAGGGAATTCGGTCCCTAAGATAATGATTCCGGGCCCCGTGAGGACGTGACACGTGTATGGGCCAGAGTAGCTGGGGAGATGGGGATTACGTCCCAAGGCCTGGTCGAGGTCCCACTCGCAAATACTTTCGTTCCCCATCAAGTAGGGAAATTCCGGCGGTTCCGCCCAGGGTTGTGCATGCAAACAAGAGTGCTCCCAATATTCCTGGAATTTTCGATCCCTCAAACACTCGCGCTCAGTGACACGAAAGGGAACGCCAAAATTCATGTTCCAAGTCGGGTTGGAACATCAGCCATTCGGGAACTTAGTCGAGTTCAGGTTTTGCAGACGCTCGTGTAGGCAGCGATCGTCTTTGGTCGGGCCTACACGTGCGTGCGCAAGACCTGTCCTCGATCAGATGGGTGAAAGCCGACGATTTGCGAGAGGGGTCATCCCATAGTGAGACGATCATCTAATAGTCTAGCATGCCTATCCAATTCACACACAGACATAACCACGCCTATCATCCATGCATCTAGCTTACGTATGAACAAAAAGAATCGAGGATCATACAACAATTCTTTGGCCGATCAGCCCAGAGATCACACAAGGCTCGATCGTCGGGAACCAATCAATCAAATTTGCCGATTCAAGAAGACAGAGACGGGGAGTGGGGGAAAACAATCCACATGTCAGTCTCCAAAGAAAGGAAGCCAGAAAAACGAAAAATCCGAGATGTCGATCAACAAGAAGGACAAGGCGAATGGCGCTGAATACCAAAATTGCTGAGAAGGATGGAAGAGAACATCACCACAATRCAYCCCSCCTCTCTCTCTCTCTCTCTCTCTCTCTCTCTCTCTCTCTCTCTCTCTCTCTCTCTCTCTCTCTCTCTCTCTCTTCACAACAGCCCGATGCGGGCAGTCCGTCGCCCCTCACCCACACAGAGTTGTCACCCTGCTTAGTCCGAACATGCCAGCCAGGTTCGCCCGTGTGCCACAGTCCGTCGCGGCCCCACGTCAACTCCGCATGCCCAGCACCAGCTCGTCGGATCGTCCAACTCCCTACTCACCTTCCAAATCTCGCTCGTTAGCCGATCCTCTCGACCTCGCTAACTCCCAGAATTCTTAGAGAGTGAGTTAATTGCGCTTGCGAAATTTATAGCATGCATGCTTGCGCGAGATACCCGGGGTTGTGCCTAAGTGGAAAAAGGAGGAGGAGGAAGGAAGTCCCTACGTCCGCATGGTCAGGCTGTGGCGTGGGGGACGTAGCCTCACTCCACACATCGATCCAGTCATGCAAGCGTTCCGGCCAATTAGGACAGAGGAAGAGGTATGCGCGCACATGGACGCCACAAAAGATATCAAGAACAAGAGGATTACAGTTGTAATTATACCCGCCAAAACAAAAGTTACAGTTACACGCAAGGATTAAGGCGCGGAAAAGTCAGAACACAGATTCTGACGCGGCAAACTTGAAGCGTGTGCAAGCAACAAGCGCCGTGCAACAAAAATTGAGACACGCCTAAATTCCTAATCTACATCCTAATTGCAAAAAGAAATTTCGAACGAAGCAAATTCYGAGAGCCCACGGGGCTCGACCTCAGTTGAAAATTTGAAAAGATTTTCCTGCGCGACGACCGCGCCAAAATTCTCATTTCCCACAGCAGAACAAGAAAGAAGCTATGGCAACAGTTATCTTTCGCGCTCGCTAAGGCGCGACCAGCTACCAATCGTCACAAGATCACCCCGGCCTTGATTTCGAAAAACAAGAAAAGCAAGGGCACCCATGTAATCCCACGGGCCCTCCCGATTCAACCCCCGAAGTAGCCTTGCGCAGAAAATCGCGCGGTTGCAGAAAACAATTCGTCACAAAGCTTTGCATCCCATCCGTAAAGCTGCAGATACTGTTTTATGTATGGCGTGACGGAGACAGATGTATTACAAACAAGATGCACACACACTTCATGTAGAAGAATAGCACATCATGTGAGCCTTTGATTTGTGCAAGCACGGAGGAGGTCTTAGGCCCAGATGTACGGATCCGTAAAGATGTGGAATGCCTCCCGGGAACTGGTGGGGAGTTCAAGTAAGCCCACATTAGTGACCAGGTTGCCAAGTACCAGTGGGGGTGTTGATTGGAGGGAAGTGTGTAGGAATTGGCGCACCCGTGGGTGCTGACTGTGGTGTGTGTTGAGCTGGACACTGCAGCCTTGCAGGGATGGGATGGATATCATGATCAGTATGGTTCCACATTTGAACACCATGTCCTGGCTATAGTGGTGAAGTACTGTCTGACCAACCTGGGCTGGTGCTCATAGGAAAAAACAAAGTGTATAGAACGATCATGCTTGGCGACCGAAGTGCCCGTGCGACAAGGCTCGCTCGATACTAGTCGATAGTGCTTCAACTAGGGCTGGGAGAGGTTTGTCCTGGCCTAGCACTGGTGTCTCCAACCGCTGTCCAGTACATCCGAGGTAGAGCCAAACAAGTGCCCCCGTAGATGGGGAAGCAGAGGTTGCGCTAAGGAAGCAGAAAGATGAGGTAGGTATGGGCGGGTCCCGTGAGCACGCAAAGAAAAAGAAAAGAGAAAAGAAAAAGCGACTTGCCCCTTGAGGCCGAGGTTGTGGGTTCGAATCTGTGGTTCCCTGGAGAAGGTCTTAGGCTCAGACCTATCGATGCATAAAGCTTTACACTTGCGGAGGACATGATGTGGAAATAACAAACTGCGACCCAGCCCCTCTCCGCAGACCGATATTACAAACAACATGGCTTCCACATGTTAAGAACAGAAAGGCATGCTAATCACAGTCATTCAGGCGCTGCAAGCCCAGCCCCGTTCCGCAGAGAAGACAGGCCATAAGAGGGTGACCCGCATGAGTACACCTGACTGGAGACTGTCAGAGAAAGTGTGGAGACAGGCTTTTCACGGGAGCACAAAAACAAGTTATAATTGCAGTATGGGCCAAGATACAGTTTGCAATTGCAGTTCGGGCACCATACCTGGCCGGAAAGCTGGGTTCTATACATTGCCTGAACTGCAATTGCAAACTGTATCTTGGCCCATACTGCAATTATAACTCATTCTTGTGACTCCTGCGTGGTTTCCCCCTTTTTTTTTGGTGGAGACAGAAGTAGAATTTGATGTACCCGTAGGTACACGAGGAGATTGTTATGATCGTTATTGTGTCCGCATTGAAGAAATGCGACAAAGTCTTCGAATCATTGTCCAATGCTTGAATCAAATGCCTAGATAATTCGAAGAAACGTTTTGAGTTCCTCTGTTCGGAAGCAGAGTTCGTACTATATTTTACCCTACAGTCTTCCCCCGAATACAACGTAAGGATCATTATAGCTGAATTTGGGGTATCTTTCAGTCTAAAATTCCCTCTAAATACAGCTATAATGACCGTAAGTTGTGTTCCGGGGAAGAAAGTTGCATTTGCTTCCAATTCTTCTAGGCAAGTCTGGTCGCTTGTAAACCAAGCACCAGCTGGATCCTTGCACAGCAGCAATGAACAGATCGTTTCCGAAACAACTGACAAAAAACTGACATTTTTTTCTAAATTCACGAAAGTGGACTTAGTCAAAATTTCATTGCTCATTGGGTGAGAAAGTTGTTATCCCAGTTTGTCCATCTGATGTACCTCAACGTAAAGTACCGTTAACATACATCCGATGATCAGATCATCGGGAGTTGCCACGACACCCGATGATCTGATCATCCGACGTCATCGGGACAAAAAAACACTAAAAAATGTTGTTTTTTCAACTTTTTGTCACGCTCAATTTCGTGAATTTAGAAAAAAATATCAGTTTTAACAAAATGTCAGTTAAAGTTGTGTTAAACGCTCCTACGCTACTGATGTAGCCTGTATGGGAACAGGTGGTGGCGGGGGGGATATAAAGAAAGGATATTCGTCTGTAGTAATATTGCATAAATACAAGGGTGATGATGTCCAATACGGGGCCCTGTAGTACAGTGTCAAATTCCTTTCCCGAAATCAGTGCTTTGCAAGTGCTCGGCCCAGGGGTGCTGCTGCGGCGCCACATATGGTCGGTGTAGCACTGTTTTCCGCCTGAGGGTGTTGTATTGGTTCATTGTGCGACATTGCTGGAGGGGGTTTATCCAGACGGGACCAGAGGAAGCTGGACATGACATGTGCGACATCATGAGCCATGAGAAAACCAGGAACATACCCCCCCAAAAATGGAACAACCCCACTGGGTTGATGAATTGATTGCTCAGCTGATCTGCAGATTGATGGCTATTGATTGACTGTTTGATCGACTGTTTGATTGACTGATAGAGTGATTGGTCCAGGCAGTAAGTGGAGGGAGAGGACAAGATGGAGGCCATGTCACCGTGTCCAGCAGTAGAAGAGTTGCTGACGTCATCAGAATCCCTAGCAACTGTGTCAGAGGAGGTGTCGGAGGACAAGAAGAGCAAAGACTCGGCCGCTTGCAACAAAAAAGTCAAATTTCAGTCTAAAAGGACAGTCAGAAAGAGCAGTAAATACATGCAAAAGAAGGGGAAGAGAATAGGAGAGCAGCATGAAAAGGATGACACAGATGTCCCAGCGGAGAACCACAGGTGGCGAAAGCGACGATCAGACATGAAGAATCATGCCACTCGGGTAAGTCTGCCTACTTGTCTTTCTGTCTGTCTTTCTGTCTGTCTTTCTGTCTGTCTTTCTGTCTGTCTTTCTGTGTTTTGTGACATGCAATGGTTACAAAGTTACAAACTTATCACTAACTGTTTTCACACCATGATGATTGGTGGAAGCCTTGTGTGAGCTGACTGACGTATTCAGCACATCTTCTTGTCTTGGTTCATCGTGTTCTCACCTGCGCGATCAATGATTTCTCTTTCTGTTTCGTTCTCTTTTCCTTCAAGGTAAGATAGACAATTTGCTGACCAGGGTACTCAGCTGTTGAAATGAGGTTTCTCCTTCCCTTGGTCTTGGAGTTCCTGCCTATTCTCGAGGTCCCCGGCTACAGTTTGGGGTTCTTGGCTATTCTACAGGGCGCAAACATGTTTGCTGCTGCCGCAGTGCTGCAGCTATTCAGGTCTGTGACTGGCTATTCAGGAAGGTGACTAGCTGGCTATTCAAGTGTGCGTTTGGCTATTCCATGCACTCTTCTTGGGGTTCCTGGCTATTGTAGAAGGTGCAAACATGTCTGCTGCAAATTTCAGGTCTGTGTCTGGCTATTCAGGAAGGTGACTGGCTGGCTATTTAAGTGTGTGTCTGGCTATTCGATGCACTCTTTATGGGGTTCCTGGCTATACTAGAAGGTGGAGGTGTGTGTGCGTCTGTCCAATGTCATTGGATCAGTACCTCTGGCCCTCAGCCCTCCTCTGTGCAAGCACAGACTCGACCCGGCGACCTTGGCCTCAAGAGCCAAGTATCGTAACCCCTACAGCGACCGCGATACCCGCCCCACCCCTGCAAGGCTGTAGTGTCCACGCTCAACGCACACCACACACAAGACCACACCGAGCCTGGCAATCACGCACACTTCACTCCAAGTAGCACATGACCCCCATTGGTAGTAGCCTGTCTGCAGTATTCAGAAAGGTGGGTGAATGGCTATCGCCTGTCTGCCAGGAAATCCTATGCACTCTTCTGCGCTTCCTTTTCTTTTTTTTTTTTCTTTTTCTTTCCCTTTTTGGGGAATGACGGGAGTCGTGTGGAGGAGTGCATAAACAAATGCGCTTTCCTGGGGTTTTAACAGTTTTATATCGAAGAGGGTGCAAGCCTGTGCCTTAATGGCTGTTCACCTGCGGATGGATTTTTATACACCTTCCTTTTTTTTCATCCACCTATAAATCCTCCTGAATTACAAAAGTTCGAAAAAGAGTGCAAGTGGAACTTACGGCTTCTCTAAGGGCACGCTCAGCGCGCTCACACTGCAGTACCAAATCCGCATTGTAGTGTCGAGGGTCAGTCACACCCAGTTCGCATTTTCACAAAGTACTCATTCGTGAACCCTTTTGTCAGAGGCCTGAGGGGCCATGGGTTTGGGAATTTGCAGTAACCTCGAGAGATTACCACAAATTCCTTATTCTTTTTTGAATTAACGTTAAAAAAATGATAGAAAATTCTTAAACGAAGCCATAGCAATTGGGGAAATGTGAAAAAAAGAAAAACAAAAACAAAAACAGAAAATCAGGTGAGGGAAAAAGGGTGTGCCCAGTGTGACTGGCTTCTTCCCAAGCTCCACACCGCGTAAGCTGCCGCGACCAGGAAATGGGAGATTTGGGGACATGGTATGACCTGCGCCACAGCTATTTCCCCAAATCAGGCCTTCCTTTTGAGATTATGCGGATTTGTTACTGCAGTGTGAGCGTGCCCTAAGCTCATACTCACAGTTGCCATTTCCAGCCTGACCTGGAAGTATCTGACTGCAATTACATCCAGACCTCAGTCGAAAAAGTCCTCGTGCGAGTATGCTCTAGGAGCCTCAGGGCGAAGAAACAAAGACGTGGCAAGTGTACTTTCGAAAGACGTGCTGCGCGCTTGTAGTCAACCTGTCAGTCCATGTGCACTAACCACCAGCACATGGCCCCAGCCAACTCGAGAATCACCATGGAGCCTTGGAGGCTTTGGGTAACCGGACCAAAATGGCTGGCGCCAGCAGCCAAAACTAAAACAAAGACGCCACGCTGGTGTTTCACCAAAGCTTGGCGCGCAGTGTGAACCCGCCTTGTACAAAAGAGGCACAGATGTACTGGTCCTTTATACCACCAGTACACGGCCCCAGCCTTGCAGAAAAATGTTTCGTTGCCACCTAGAATTTCAGAGGTTCGGGGTTACCGGACTACAATGGCTGGTGGCGCCAGCCGAAAGAAGGAAAAAAGTGTCGCTGGCAGTTTGGAAAAGCTTGGCGTGCACTGCAGCGCAGCGCCTCCAGGCCCGGGTGTACTGGTGGTTTGAACCGCTAGTACACGGCCCCAGCGTTGCAGAAAGTTTTTGTTGCCACAAGCAAAACTCTGAGGCGCCGCGCGGCCAGGGGCGCCGTTGAAAGGAAAAATTGGCGGCCTAAGAAGTGGTGCAGGTTTCATGCTAACACCCACGGGCCAATGTGTGGTGTACTAGTTTTTTAAACCACCAGTACTTGGCCCAGCTATCGATGCCAAGCCTGAAAATGGGCCGCGCCAGCCTTTGAGGGCCGGTACGCCGAGCCTCCAACGCCCCGTGGCCGATGTATGGGCCAAGTACTGGTGGTTTAAGACTCACAGCACTAAGGATCAATAGAAGCTTTGGGCATTGGATGTGCCTTTTGACCAGGATTAGGCCATTGCTTTACTGTCTTGTACAAGAAGAATTTGCACACTGCCCGTTCATAAATGGACAGGGTGGCAGCTTCCAACATCAACAGCGATGGCAGAGATGGACACAGAGACATTGTCTCATGGGGGGCTGTGGGGAACCCCTCCTGACCTGCAGACCGTTGAGGAAGACTCCGCACTGTTCATTGTGACCTTGTATAAACAGCAGCTGGAGGAGATGCACGCGGTGCCGGATGATATTTTGTTGGCGGGAGAGGAGATCTATGTTGGGTGGGAGGAGGAACTGTATGAGCAGATTTCTCTTCGACAGCAGGATGAGGATGACAGAGCACAGGTGTGGCATACTGTGCAGCCACACGGGCCCTGCAGGGCCCGTCCCGGACCTCCAGCCTGTTTCCCTACAGGGAAACTTCCAGGCTCTTGCCTGGAAGCTTCCTTCTGACAGGGCCTACAGGCCCCAGCCTGTTTCCCTACAGGGAAACTTCCAGGCTCTTGCCTGGAAGCTTCCTTCTGACAGGGCCTACAAGCCCCAGCCTGTTTCCCTACAGGGAAACTTCAAGGAACTTCCAGGCTCTTGCCTGGAAGCTTCCGCATGGTCTAGGCCAGGGGAGCATTGGCACGGCCAGCCTCCTGCACGGGCCAGCACTATAAAGGACTGGCCCGCCCTGCAGGAAAGGAGGCAGTAGGCAGAGGTAGTCTTCAGGATTCGGCCGCAGCACTCAGGAGGAGCGCTGCAGTAGTCTTCAGCGCTAGGCAGTAGTGGTAGCGCTAGCTGTAGTCTTCGGCGCTAGGCGCCATAGCTGTAGCTGTAGTCTTCAACGCTGGGCGCTGGTAAGTAGTAGATCGCAGAGTGGGAGAGAAACTGGCGGAGGCCAGTGTTACTTACCTGTGGCGCCATCGCTCCAGCTCCATCTTCGTGGTACCTGCATCAAGGCGCCAACTTCACAGGTTAGTACTGGACACAGAGAGAGAGAGAGAGTTCTTCTTCTTCCTCGTCTAAGTCCACCTTCTCTTCTCACCCTCTCGCCACCTGACTTCTCAGACCACGACAGAGAGAGACAGAGTTGTGACTTGAGACTTGACGACATTGGATCCAGACTTGACATTTGGGATTCAGACAGTTCGACGAGGGACTATTTGGGCTTGTGCCGAAGACTTGGTGTTGACGACATTCCCATCTTCCCCCCTCCTCTTCGTCTATCCCCTTCCTCCTCGTCTGTGCATGTTCTGGGCTGGCGTTGTCTTCCTGTGTGAAGCGCCAGACCCATTCACACTAT